AGCTAATAAGATTATTCAGAAATATAGGGAGATTACTATAGAATAGGGAAGAAAGGATATTGAGGCAGATAATAAGAATAAAGCTCGGATAGTAAATATAAGATATACTAGGCTAAATAAGCCTTAGAGAAATAAGTATAAAAAAATAATATAAAGGTTTAAAAGTAATTACTAGAATGTAATTAATTAGAAAATAAAGGCTACTAATTATAATTTATAAGGAAAATAGGGGTTATAGTAGGCTAAAACTCTATAGTTCTATATATATAGGGAAAAATTTATATATTACTAGTTTTTATATATTGCCCTCTCTTATCTAGTAAGTATACTAAGCGAAAACTAGATGAGTCCGGCCGAATAAATAACCGATTTCCAAGATTAATATATACCTCAAGCAAATATATACTCTTTTCTTACTAAGACTACCCATTTTTAGACCTTAATAATTAAATAACTAATAAGTAGATTATTTTTAAAATTTCTATATTACTAGTTTTATATATATTAAATAAGATTATAGTATAAAATTTATATAATTAATATTAAGCTTAAAGCTTATAAATTACTAAATTTAATAATATATAAATAATTTTATAAATAAGCCTAATAAATAGAAATTACTTAATTTTATATTAATAAGTTTCATTTATATATTTAAAATATTATTATTTCTAAAAATGTAATTAATAATTTTATTATAATAATTACTTTTCAAGTTTTTAATAAAACCTATTATCTATTATATATTAAAAAGAAATAAAAAAAGAAGTATTTAATTTTATAAGAGTTTATAATATATTTTAAATTTTAAAGTATATAATCTTTGTTTTTATTTAAAATAATTATATTATATTAAATAAAAGTATTTTTTATAAAATTCTTATTATAGTATTATAAATTAATATATAAAGTATTAAAGAATTAAAAATATTATTAGAAATAAGCTTATATATAGTTATATATTAATTATAAGGTTATATAAATATTTTATATATTAAAATAGTAGTTTTAGATTAGTTTTATATAAGGAAACTTAATTTTTTTATTTTTTTATTTTTATTTCTTAATTTAACTTTCTCTTTTAAAAAATATTATTTTTATAAAAAATTCAAATATAAAACTCGAATTTTATAACTGTTATATAATACTAGGGCCCCCCTTTAGTGCCCTGTATATGTCTATATTACGTGTTTAGAGGCTTAGCTTCTGGGTATATTTTACTTCTATATAAGTTCCCAGAAATACCTAATTTATATTTCTTAGAAAGTATATTTTTATTTATATTAATAACTAATATATTATTTTATATAAAAACAATAGCTTTAATTTATAATTATATATAAGATAAAGTAAGCTTATAAAAATTAAGTTAAAAGCCTTTATAAATATAAAGATATTATATATTAAATTAAAGTATTTAAGATTTTTAAAATTTTATATAAAAGCCAAATTTAAATAATCTTAAAATCTTAAAATATTTATATTTAAAATATAAATAAATATTCTATCTTCTTTTCTTTCTAAATATAAAGGAATTATATTATTATCTTTAATAATTATTTAATATTATGTATTTGGCTAAAATTAGGATATGTATTTGCTTAGTATATATATTAACCTTAGAATTCAGTTATAACTTGATATGTATTTACTCTACTAAAAATCGCCCACATATTATATCCCCTCTTCCTATATCTCTACCTATTACTACTACTTAAAATATTACTCTTTCTTTAATTCTTATTTATATATATATGAGAGAGGGGTGAGAGGTAAGGGGTAAGTGGGGCGGTGGGGGGGGTGGAGGGCGAGTAAGCAAGTAAAAAGCGAAAAGTGAAAAGTAGAAAGTAGAAAGTGGAAAGTGGAAAGCGAAAAGCGAAAAGCGAGCTTCGAGGCACGCGACTCGCAAGGAAAAGGAAGCCCTATAATTATAGGCTACTTGTTACTAAATTTTAGGGCTATAATTACTAAGTTACAGGCTATAGGTACTAAAAATTTAGTAATATAAATTTTTGATTAAGTTCCCTCGCTTTGCCCTATTTCCCCTGTCTCCTCTCTTTCCCCCTATAAGCCCCCTCTCTTACCTTTATACTTAGAGAGAGAGAGAGAGAGAGAAGAATTAAAGAGAGTAAATATTTGAAGTAGTAATAGAGGTATAGGGAAAGGGTATAATATGTGGGTATAGTATGTGAGTATTTGTGATTTTTAGTAAAGTAATATATACCGAGTTAAAAGTCGAAAACCGAATCGAAAATTGCTTAATTACTTGATCCTTACGGCTTTTCGTATATCTGGGAACCCTGTACTATATTGCAGTATCCGTACTCGGACTGTTTGGGGGAACTTTAAATTAACTACTCTTTAAATTACATTAAATAATAAAGAGGTTTTATAACTCTAATAACTACTTTCTAATAACTTCGGTCTTCTAAATCAAGTAAAGCTTCTATTAATTACTTAGCTTCCTCTAATCTATAGTTCGGAATATCTCGTATCGAATCCAAAATTTTGTTTAGCGTTTTAATAATACTATTAGTATGCCCTTTCTAGTATAGTACCTATTTCGCCTTACTAGAAGACTTTATATAATATTACTAGTTTAAATTAAACCGGGAACTAATTATGTTATAAAGCTCTTTATATTATTAGATTAGTAAAACTTCAATTTGAGGTTTTTAATAGGGGCTCAATTGGGTCTAGCGGATGTCTTATTGAAAAATGGTTGTCGGGGTTGCAAAACCTTTCTAATTTTAGAGGAAGAGTGTCTTGATTATATTATTAGAAGAGAAATGAAGCTTCTGGAATATTCTAGCCTAAATAATCTATTTATGCTTAGAAATTATTTAGTATTACCAGGCATATAGTATAATAGCAAGATTAGTATAATGGCCAGGGCTCAAAGATTAGAGTATCTCATGTATTCAAGAATACTAAGCTAAAGAGTAAAGAAAGAGGGAATGCCTTGACCTTTAATAGGTTTTCGCCAGTCTCTAGTTCGCATACCTGTTTCAGCCCCCTTACTTGTTATGTGATAGTGCGGCAGATTACGTAGTCCTGCCAGCCGTCACATATAGTATATAAATATTACCTCCCCCCAGGCTCCCTCTGTAATGGCGAGATTAGGGCAATGGCCAGGGCTCAAAGATCAGAGTATCTCATGTATTCCAAGAGACTAAGCTAAAGAGAAGAAGAGAGAGAGAGAGAGAGAGTAAAAGCAGAAGAAGTAAGGGCCGGAACGACTGAAACGCCAGCTTAGCAGGTGAAACCAACTAAGGAGGTGAAACCAGTCACGTGACGGCCCAACCCCTAAAACGGGTACGATTATTATGGCATGCGATTCCCCAGGCATTAACTTTCGCTACGAAACCTGTAAGGTACCCGCGCCCCTTACTAAAGTGCGCTTTTGCCGCTTTAAATCCCTCACCAAATAACTTAGTAAAATTCACTCGTGTGCCACAAGTCGTAAGTAATAATACTACGAAACTACACAATTTTAAATTTTTAAAAAGAGAGCTCTAATCGCGAGTCCAGGGCATAAAAGAATTAATTATTTTATTGTTATCCCTATTGCGTTAAAGTACGTGGGTTGAGGATGTACCTCAAGCGGTGCGGCGGCAAGATTCGCTTCTTAAAAGGGCGGGTATTCTCGCTTAAATGCCCTAAGAAGGTAATTGCTGCCTGGGGAATCGTATGCCAGAATAATCGTACCCTCTAAAACGCCAGCCAGTGCCGTTACTGTGACGGCTGGTGTTACATGGATGCTACGGGTTGGTTTCAGCTAAGGTTCCAAGCTATAGTTCAAACCAAGCTCGGGTTCCAAACCAGGCCCGGCGTTTCAGTGGTCTTGGCCGCACTTACTTATCCACTGCCACACCTCACTCTCTCTTCTCTCCTTAGTTTTGAACTAGCTTAATAAAGCTAGGGCCACGTGCTTGCAATGTAAACCAAGTAAAACGTACTGAATTGACTGCTGTTCTATAGTGGTAAGTAGCCCATATATATAGCCCTGAACCCCTAAGTTACATGCACTAAACCCCTAAACCAGAGAGCCTTATACTGAACCATTTAACCTCAACTGAACCGATTTAGCCTCACAGGGCATATTATGCCCTGAATCAACCTTACAGGGCATAATATCCTCAGTAATAAGCCTATGGCTTAAGCCCATTAGTATACAGCCCCTAAGGCTCTGTTCCAGGGCTTACTAAGCCTATTAGGGGCCTCAGGCCCCTAATTTCAACACTTAGCTTTAGATTCTGTAGGACATTGGAATTATAGATCTTTGAGCCTCGTTCCATTGCTTTGTTCCTGCCGTTACAGTTACATTCTCTCTATTAAAGTTACAATAATATATATAGTATAAAGTAAGAAGTAAGTCACTTTAACAGCTTTTGAGGCCTGTAAAAGTTTTCTATTCTAAGCGCCTTATGCAGTACTAAGTAGTAAATGTTCTATTAAATCATTTCTGAATTAATATATGCGACTTATCTAGACAATAGGCTTTCATCGTAAAACACACCCTACAGATAACAAAATCTCCACTATTACAAACCCTGCAATAATAATAAGTGGCTTCGTTTGAGATACCTAAAACACAGACGTCACACCATCCCGAGGAGTTATCGCTTGGCACTGAAATCGTGGCTATAGGCAAGTCGTTTTCTTGAACAATTATGCCTTCTTCTTTACACTTTTTAAGGAAGAATTCGGCGATTTCGGAATATCCGGTCCTTTTTGCCCACCATAAAGGAGTCCGACCGAAACTGTCTTGGGCATTCAAGGCATGACTTTTGATTAAGAGAAACGTAACTACGCCTCTGTGTCCCATCCTCGCTGCGATTGATAGCGGTGTCGAATCGTAATAGTCCTTGGAATCAACGTCAACTCGGTCTGTGGCAAGAAGGAGTTTGATAGTGGCTTCATTTCCAATTCTGGCAGCATGCAACAGCGGTGTCCGACACACATTATCCTTTGCCTCGGCGTCAGCGCCCTTCTCAAGCAGTAGCTTAACGACGTCGACGTGCCCTTTGAGTGAGGCCATGTGTAGTGGAGTCCAGCCGTGCTTATCCCTCGACTCGACGTTGACATTATGCGCGAGCAGCAGCTCGACGACAGCCTCGTGCCCGTTCTTAGCAGCCCACGACAGCGGTGTCCATCCATTCTGATTCGCAGTAGCTGCATCGGCGCCCTGTTCAAGGAGTAGCTTGACGACGTCGACGTGGCCCTTATTTGAAGCCGAATTCAGTGGCGTCCATCCGTCCTGATTTGTGACTTTCACGTCGGCGCCCTTCTCGAGGAGCAGCTTGACGACATCGACGTGACCGCTATCTGAAGCTGCGTGTAGTGGCGTCCATCCTCTCTGATTCGCAACCGTCACATCAGCTCCTTTCTCGAGGAGCAGCTTGACGACGTCGACGTGGCCTATGATTGAAGCCGCATTTAATGGCGTCCATCCCATAGTATCTATAACAGCGATATTCGCTCCCATCTCGAGGAGCAGCTTGACGACGTCGATGTGGCCGTTGTTTGAGGCCGATATTAAGGGTGTCCATCCCTCAGTATCTGCAATCGCTACGTCGACGCCCTTCTCGAGGAGCAGCTTGACGATATCGAGATGCCCGCGCTCTGAGGCCGCATGTAGTGGTGTGCATCCGTCGTTGCTAGCAGCTGTCACATCGGCGCCCTTCTCGAGGAGCAGCTTAACGATCTCGAGATGCCCGTTAAGCGAGGCTGTATTTAGTGGCGTCCATCCTCTATTAGTTGTAACTATTACGTTGGCGCCCTTCTCGAGGAGTAGCTTAACGACTTCAACATTCCCGCTATCTGAGGCTGAATTTAATGGCGTCCATCCTTCTTGGTTTGCTACCGTGACGTCGGCGCCTTTCTGGAGAAGTAACTTGACTATTAAAGTTCGGCCCTTCAAAGCAGCTGCTTGCAATGCTGTTCTATTGAACTTATCGATATGATTCACATCTAGTTTCGCTGCTTCAAGTAGGTAAATAACAGTATCCCGAAGCCCAAGAAGTGACGCATAGAATAATGGGTTTGTCGAAGTGATTCCTCTTTGAGACTTAGGCATCTCTGATTTGTCGTCATTAGCATCAAACCACTTTTTCCATGACTCCCAATTCCCACTGTAAGAGCTAAAGAGACGATTAGTGAGCTCAACCACTTTTTCGTAGTTTGAACCCTTCTCTCTAATGTGGTGATGCCATGATCCCGCGGCATAGTCTCGGAATGGCCGTTTGTCTAGATCGTTATGTATTTGGAGAGATTCTTGCCATACAATCCGGAAATTCAGGTACCGGAGACACAATTTCGCTAACACATTGCTTTGGAATATCTCGGTAGAGGCACGTAGTTGTTCATTGGCCATGAGCAGTCCTCCGTGAGCAGGCATATTGCAAAGAATATACTGCTTTACTGAGAAGTGCGCCAAATGTATTGTCATCAAGCCTAAATCCTGTTCCGGTGCTGCTTTCCGAGTCTCTAGGAGCGATCCACATAGACCTACGATTTCGCTACTGATATAATCCTCGTCGATAGCATCTGGTACCTCGTCGACAGAGAGGTCTTCACAGTCGTCATCTACGATGAGGAGAGCTTCAGTGACTTCGAGAATTGTGAGCGGACGTAAGGCCAATGCAGCCCATCGAAGAATAGAAAAAGCGCGGAGCTTATCATTATCTGGAAGATGGGAAATCTTCGCCCAGTTTCGGTCATAGAGATGGTCTAGTGTTGTAGGAGCTTGATCGATAGTTGCTTCGAGTTGCTTCTTGTTCTTCCCACTGCGTAGTTGTTCCTCTAGCATCTTTACCCAGAGAAACATTCCTTCGCATCGGTCGGCCATCCTCTGTGATAGCTCATATTTTAGCGTTTCGCTCTTATTTGTTAACTTTTTATCGATAATACTTCGAGAGAATAAGATAGTGTCCGGTCGGACATGCTCCGGACGAATTTGGTACTCGTTTAGACCTTGATTATTGTCGCCGGCCCAAACAGTACGAAAGCCGTATCGGATTTCGGGTTCATTGCGGCTAAGAATCAGGATTCGAGTATTGGTATTCGCAACTGCTCGTCTAATAGACTCGAAAAAGCCCGCTGGATCTTCTTGCCATACACACTCATCAAGCCCATCTGCGACGAATGTACAATTTGGTATATGCTGAACGATCGTTTGAAAGAGGTCGACAATATCCGTTTGCGATGCACTACGTCCTTCTTTCGTTTCCCGCTTCCCACAGGCTAACTCGAATGCATCCCGATTACCTGATATTATTTGAGATACCCAAGACCTTATTATATTTAAGGGATCTTGTTGACTTTCTGAGTCTGACGAGCAGAAATAGTATACTAGTAGAGACTCGAGCATTGTTGATAGATACTGGACTATACTTGCACATAGGATTGTTTTTCCGTGTCCGGCAGGACCATTAATCCATAGGATCTTGGAAGTCCCAGAGGGGAAGTCAGGGGAAATCCATTCCAGAAAGGCCTCTCGACTTAGGATCCAGTCGCATGTGCCGTCGAGCTTCCTCCGAATGAAGTTGTCGTAAACATCATTAGTCCAAGATGCTCCAAGCCAACCGTCCAGTTCTTTCCTTGTTTCGTCTTTAATTATTAGCGAGGCTCTATTAGAGGCGAGGAAGTCTTACGCTCAATCTGCTTTTCCATCTTAATAAGTAGTTGTTGAGAATTAGAGAACCATATATCTTTATCTTCGCCTCGTAGCAAGTTAGATTCATTGGACTATAAACTCAGAGGGAGGACATACCATTCCTCGAGCTCAGATCATTACCTATTGTACCTTTGTGCATATTCTCTGGTCCTATCGGTCCGTCCGGTGGAACCAAGCTGTGCAATCTTTGAACCAAGGCTCCAAATTGTTGTACTTGAGAAATGAATTTTGCTTTGCTCCTGAGAGACCATCCGATTCGACTCTTCTGCGAGATGGCCCCTTGAGGCTTTTGAGCTTTTTGACGCGTATTAAGGAATCGAATTCCATCCGGAAAAGTGGTTGGGCCTGCTTCCACTACGGGCTGGAGATTGGACATCGTACCCTCCGTCCTGCTAAAGATCTCCTGAATACTTGATAGAATCTCTTGTACTATCGAGTTTATCTCTTGATTATCTAGACGTGTATGGTATTTGTTCTTCAGTTTATTTTTGCCTATACCGACATCTTGGGCCCATTGTATGAATAGATGCTTGTCGGCCCTGAACTGAGCAATAATCGCACGTGAGTCAACCCCGAAGTCCTTATAGGAATCCACTTTGTCGATGACATCAAGACAAACACTGAAAAGGCCAGCCAAGCGTACGACTCCGACGGTGAACCCTATCGGTTCCATATTTATTATTCGTTCTTTGATCTAATGTCCAGAACCAGACAGTCTGCTAGAATAATCCGCGTTGCGCCTCTATTGCTTGTTGAAATCTGCTAGGTATAGAAGTAATGAGGCTCTTGTCAAAATGCCAGAATTAGTGGATAGTCAGAAGATGAAAGCAAGAACAAAAGAGAGAAAGATATAGGTGCAGCATATAAGATCTCTTGCTTTGCGCGTCGCAAATGCTCAGCCTCTGCCACACAATGGGTCCTCAGAATGTTAGCAACCGAAATATAAGGCTTCAAGGCCTTGACGTCCAGCGGCGCAATTGGATGGGTGGTAGCGAAGGGACGCGTGGCTGCCGATCATCAAAAATAATGCCTTATAAGTGGTGCAGATGGGGCCAATGTTCTCTTTCAGGCAGACTTCTGGGCATGGCTGCATAGAGCTTGCAAGAGAGGCTACCAGCTTTGCTTAGCACGATATAAGTAGAGATAGCAAAAATTTAATTTATTAAATTATAATTAATAATTAAATTATTATTAAAGTTAGGGGTTTAGATTTAGATTTAGATTTAGATTTAGATTTAGATTTAGTCAAATATCTGAAAAGCGGATATATAAGTAAGATAGTTTTGAAAAACATATATTAGTAAGAAGCTCCCTTACTAAAATCGTATAATTAATAACTTAATATTAAATAACGGGTAAATAGCTATAAATTAGATACCGAAATAATTATATATTATTAGATTTATAATAACTTATAGCTATAGTACTCTGCTATAAAGTTCTCTGAGAACTTTATAACTTTTTATTAGAAGTACTTTAAGAAAATCGAAATATCTATATAGTTCTCTATTTTTATTAAATAAGTTTTATAAAATTTTCATATATCGAATCTCCTAATTTAGTCCGATTTCTGAACCTACTTTTTATAAGAATCCGTCTTATATAAGCTAGGTTATTAATAAATAAAGCTAGAAAGTAACTAAAAATACAAATGATTTTTAATTTAGGCTATTTCTTATATAAAAGGCCCGAAATTTAAATATAAGCTCTTATAATAGTATAAAGCTAGACTAGAAGCTAAAAAGTCTAAAAATAGATTTCTAATATAATAAAAGAAATTTTAGTTTGTTTTTTTCCTTATTTTTAGGCTTAAAACTAATAGCTTTATAACTAGAAGCTTTTTCAGTAAATTTTATATTATATTTGGGTTTATTATATATAAAACTAGCTATATATACATTTTTAACTAATTCTATTAATAATAACTTTAAGTAATTAAGTTGAAATACTTATACTTAAAGCTAATACTAAGAGCTTAATTTATTAATTAGGAATTAGTAATAGGTTATAATAAGAATATTCTTTTTATATACTATAATATAAGGGCTATTAAAAGAGCTAGTTTTTATAAGAATCGGATTACTAGTTCTTTTTAAATTAATTTTAAATGAATTAAAATTAGGGAAAAGATTAGGTTCTTTAATAAAATCTTAATTATAATATTAAATATAATAAGGCTAAGACTTATATATAATGTATTATATCTAAGGATTCTAAAAATAAGCTTTTTATAGGAATTAAGTTAATAGAACTAAAAGTTATTAGAAGATTTATTTAAGACCTTAAAATAAGCTTGGCTAGTCTTATTTATAAGTAGAACTCTTAGAAATCAAGTAAGAATTTAGAAAATCAAAAAAAAAATCTTAATACTAGAATAATAAGTTTAATTCTATTAATATTAATCTTAATAATATAAGTCTCTTATATATATAAGCTTTAGAAATGTTTTTTATATATATAATATTAATAAATAAGTTAAAACTAAATAATTAATTAATTAAAAAGATATAATATTATATCTTTAATATTTTATTTAGTTAATAAAATAGAAATAGTCTTGAATATTATAGATCCCGAAGTTCTCTTTATAATTTGCTTGGTAATTCCCTTCGAAATACCCTTTAAAATTCTTTTCAAAAACCTTTTCAAGAATTACATTCTTATTAATAGCTTGGCTATTAGTAAGATCGAGTATTTGGGTAGCTTTAAAGGCTTCGATTTTAGTCTTAAGCTTTTTGTTCTCTTCTAATTATTTAATTAGCTAATAGTTAATAATTATATAATAATTATTAGTTACCTTTAAATATCTTATATAGAATTTAATAATTAACTTTATCTTTAAAAGCTAGTAGGAAGTTATAGATCTAATTAAATTATTAATAATTTGTTTTTTTAATATAAATAGAAGCTATATTTAGAGAGGAATAAGGGCCCCTTAAAATACCCGTACTTGGATTTCGGGGATTTTGGTATAATTACTTAAGCAAGATTACGTGGTAAAGGGGATCTAAGATAGCTGTTACGAAACCGGGTCTCTGGGCTTGGAAAGCGAGGTAGAGTGGCTCTTAATTCGAGGATTCTAAACTAAGGAAGGAAGCTTATAAATACAGGAGCTTGGTATTCTAAATACTATAGCCGCATATATTATTATACGGTTATATAATACTAAATTTA